GTGGTGTATTCTTGAGTATCGAAAATAATCGTATCGTTGGGTCAGGAAATCGATACTGAATCGAATCGCCATGATGGGTATGATTTACACCCCTAGCACCAACAAATAGGGCACCAATACCTTTTATTCAAAACGGTATCAATAAACCAAAAGTTTATTCAACTATTGTCACCTGTTCCAGGTAGGCACTAAAAAGTTCTACTTAATTCACTTTGTATTAGTCTTTTTTTCCTGCTTCACAAAGGTAGGCAGCAGCTTGACAAAGCCATGATGGCAAATATTTTACATCCAAGTAGTATGCAGACTTCATATTTACACACACACACAATTTCAAACAGAAGGTATCGGTATGGCTTCGGCCAATAATGCAAAGCCAGGTATTGGTATCGGGGCCAAAAAATGGCATCAGCGCAAAACTAGATAAAATAAACAGATCTGTGGAGTAGGGCTGGGCAATTGATTGCATTTACAAAATAATCGCAATTTAGCATAACTCAATATTTAAACTGCAGAGGTACTGAATGTTAATCACATTAAACAAGAGTAAAACACTAAATTTCTTCTTCCAGGCCTTTAGGTAGTAGTAATACATTTAAAGTGGGTCTGCCACTATGAGGAAGGAAGGGAGGAGAGTTGCATATAGCACAAATACCCATATACGATAGTAGAAGTAAGAACTTTCTAATGCAAATGTTACGTGGAAGTCCTGCAACAATAGCTATAATAAAAAACACATTTTTGAAATAAAATACAATCAAGAAGTGACACTTTGAACACATTTTAATCAAAAATGTTTTGAGAATAACTTTGCTGCTTTCTCAGGTTATTTCTTTTTTTTATTTGTCATTTTTTTGCAGATTTAATATATATTTTGTTTCTTCAACTTTCAATTTTTCAGATTGAGTTTCAAAAACCTTCATACTTTTTAGATTGTGTTGTACAGATCCATTGTTTTTACTTCATGCCCGATGCAAACGCTCACTCTTCATGCAATGGATGACCATTACGCCATGCAGAGCAATAAATATGAAGCTTCTTCAATCATCAGGCACACAAGAAAAAATTGCTTCACATGTTCATCTTAAATAAAACCAACATAGAACTGCTGCATCATGCCCCATGTAGTCATTAAATCAACTGAGTGCAGAAAAACAGGAAAACTTACTTGAGCTAAAAATCGCTCTTATTTTTTGTCTAAATCTGTATCTCATTATAAAGAGGTCAAGTAAGATTTCAATCTCTTGATGATTCATTCTTTCATTGTTAAAAACAAAACTAAACTAACAATTGAGACTTCACTGGAATATGAGAGTAAAACTATTTCCCTCAACTGATCAGCCTTAACTCACAGTGCCCTAAAGATTTGCAATGATTTCCTAATCTAACAAGAGATTGAAAGCACCTTAAAAACACTTTTTTTGACCCGAGACATTCAGCATTTATGGCCTTATTTGTCAAAGCGGTTGTATTCAATCATTCAGACATGCCTAACTGTGGCTCCAGTCTGACAGGCCTGTTAGTGGTGCAGAGAGTAGCTGTGCCTCAGCAATATTTGTCATCATTGTAATATTAAAATGCAAGAAAAAAATCTAATGCTTAACCAAACTCAGTAGGGGGACATAAAGTAGGATAATGACATTTGTTGTTGTTTTTGTTTTTTTTCTAGTTGATTTTTCTCTGTACTGTGATGTTAATGTTATTAAAACCATAAGTCATTTTTAATTTAGGGGAGGTGACGGATGAATTTAACAAAAAAACCAAAACAAAAAAAATCCTAATGTGTGTTACGTTATCTGCCGACATCACCTTGGAGACATCGCCTGTAAATATACCCATCCCAGATGTGCCTGATAAACGAGGATTTTATGAAACCTCTCCCAGTGGTTAAACTGCACATAATGCCTCACATTTATTTGGAGTTAAATCTGAGTCATGCATTTTTCAGTTATGTTAAGGATGTTTTTTTTTTTTTTGCTCTCTCACAGTAAAGCTTTTCTCTGTCTGCTTTGTTTTACAGTTGCTAGGAGCAGCATTCTTGGGGATAGGCCTGTGGGCATGGGCGGAGAAGGTATGTATAAACATACGTACACAAATGCACCCATGGACGAAGAGAATTAACAGCACTGCCGCATTGCTAAAATTCCTCTAGAGTCTGTGACAAGAACAGGCGGAAAATATGATATGTGTTTGAGTTTCGACACAAACGATGTGATAGCGATTCTATAGAGTACAGGTACAGATGATCCAAATGTGTTAAACTGATGAGAACAAACAGTCTGAACATTTAATATGACAATCATTTAGCTCAAAGCTGTCTGAAAATATGTTTGTTGAAATTATGATACAGGAAGAACTGCACAGAAACATGTTGTTTTACTTCGTTCTCTCTGTTCGCAGCAAAGAACTCAAAGGTCATTGTTTACTAATAACCCTCGATATGCAGTGAGTTATCACCCCATGAAAAACTTCTGATTGAATTAACCATCACTTTGCTCATTAATTAACAAGAAATTGCAGCACTCTGTTGCGTAAATGCTGCGGCAGCATGGCGGCGTGTACCGATTAGTAACGTTCGGGCATGAACTGTGTGCAAATCGGGCTGCTCTGGAATACCTTTGTGGAACAGTGTGAATAATTTATAGGGATTAGGTTGCATGATGAATAGCAGTGGCTGGAAGAGCCTAATGGTGAATTTAGGTCTGAGTGACTAAGGTGATTAGTTTCAAGCTCAGTTCTTGGAGCCTGACATTATTATTTAAGGCCGTGTGCTGAGGCTCTAATGAAGGCAGTTTATTGCAGCCACAACTGACATAAAAACGCAAAAATGGCATTTCCTTCTTCTAATAGGGCTTTTTTTAGTTTCCTGAAATGCTGTTACTTTTGTCATCATGAAAAATACTGTTTAATATAGCCACTTGTTTTTCATTGAGTAAAATTGTAACCTCAAAGAGGTTTTAAATTGTTTGCTCAGGTAAAGTTAAAAATGTTGTACCTTGCATGAATTTATAAGGATTAAAACAAAGTGAATATAAGCTACGTTAAAGCTGTTGCCAAGCAGGAAATCAAAATGATTTTTCTGCAAAAGAGAATAGAAAAGCAATGAAACAGAAGTGTTAAAAAACAAAAAAACATTTTCTGTGTCAAAATGTTTTACAGCCCCAATTTTTTTTTTTTTTTTTTTATTATCTGATTCAGCACATATGGCACCAGCCTGCTCAGCACACATCCTGCTTATATCATCCTGTCTCTGTAGGGGTAGGGGTTTGTGGAATAGGTAACTAACATCCTGTATGTTTTGATGAGTCTTCAGTAATTTGGCTCATGTTTGTTGGAGTCCCTTTTTAATTATCTGTGCATGAAAGAAAAAAGAAAAAAACAAAACCTCCCAAACCGCTTTCTAAACAAAGCTGTATGATAAATGTTAGAGTAGCACGCATTCGGCTTGCTGAATGTTGAACACACAGACAGGATGTTCGAACACCAAATCGTTGTGTACTGCTTTCTTTAATGTGAGCAACAACATTATCACGTTGAAGAAAGGATTTCCTGTTACAAAAAAAACAAGAGTAGCAGTAAATAACGATCCTGTTTCTATAATTGCATGTAGTAACTGTTAGGTGGAGTCGCTTTAAACTTAAGGTAAAGGTATAGCTGTTAAAAGAAAAAAAAAACTTCAAATGAATTAATGTTATTCGCCTCAGGGAGAATAGAAGAAGAAGATGACTATCTGGAGTTTTACATCATTATTTCACAGGAATGACACCAGGAAGAGGAAATAAAAACACTTTAAAGTCAGAAGGAACTTTATGAGGAAACTTGTCCGTTTGTTTTATACTTGAAAAGTGTTAATGATGCACAATCCTCTGGGTTGGTCACTATTAAAATTGCACCAGTTTATTCTCTTTGCCTTGAAAGATGCTAAAGCATGAGGATAGTCTTCATTGAATTTATTTAAAGTATCCTCTAAGGTTTGCTGATTTCAGTTATGTATTTAAAAAGAAACACTGGGTTCAATATTGGCTTCAATAAAGTTCCCGTTGATCTTTGGAAAATATGATCTGTGGAGGATTTTAAACTGGAAGATGACTGAAAAAAAATACTAGGAAGATTGAGTTAGTAAGAAATGTTAACAAACATCCACCATCCATAAAACTCAGTTTGTTCAGGGTAATGGCAAAAGTTTTATCTCCTTGGTCACTGAATCGTGCAATTGGCGGGAAAAAAGCTGATTTGTTTATTAATTTTTTATTTAGGTAGTTCCTGAAAAGTGTTGTTAAATAAAAAGTTCAGTTCAGTAGTAGTGCACCTTTCACACACATGTTCACATTTCACAAATCACAGATAAAAA